GTTTCCTCATCTGCACAAGGCTAACAGCAAAATTGTGAGGCTTAGAAATGGTGAATATAGAGTGTCTGGCACACACGTCTTTGTTGAAACAAAGATAGGAGGGAGGGAGAGGTGGGCGGACATACAGAGAGGCTGTCTTTAAGCCACACCATTTGAGGAGCAGTTGAAGAAAGTAGAGCTGCTAGTGCTGAAGAAAAGCATGATTGTGAAAGGTTCATGTGGGACGGATCCACTGGGACACCTTACGGGGAGAAAGGAAAGAACTTTGCAGGATGAGAGAATCCTCAAAAGGGGTGGACTGACTTAAGGGGCAGCAAGTTCCCTATCTCTAGAAGGGTCCAGCTGAAGCCCCACAGGCTGCACAGGAGGGACACCCCTGTTACAAGTTCCCCAGTCTTTACTCATGGGTCACTTAAAAATCTTTCTGTAGCCTTAGTCTGAGCTAAATATCCATTAAAAAAAAGAAAAAAAAGATTTGATGTGATGCCTGTATTTTTTATAAATATAAACAAGTAAGTAACTTATAATAGCTGTACAAGACCCACCTAAAATCGTCGCCTTCACCACTGTGAGAAACATGCTCTACTGGGTCGGAATCCAGTCTACACAGGCTCCAGGGGCCCCTCTGGGCCTATGATTCTGTTATCTGAAGGTTGCCTGAACGCTGATAATGCTCTTCATTTTTATAACCCTTTCTGGTTTCCCAAGCATGTTCTCATCTGTGTATTTCATCTAATCCCCATGACAACCCTGAGGGCTCAGCAGAGAAGTCACAGATGGTGCCTGGGCCCCTGCAGCACGGGACCCACCCAAGGCCCTGCAGTCACAGAGTAACAGAACCAGAGCTTGGAGCTCCCAGCTCTCTACCCCACCCTCCTTCATTCTACATGCTGCACAGCCAAATCCTTTCCTGGTGCTCTCCAAAACCTCATTAGCAATGAAACCAAGATGAAAATTTAGGCAGACAGATGCCAGGCTCTCTTGATGAGAATATGCCCCTCTGAGAACCAGAATGTCACCTAAGCAACCAGTAATAACCCACATTGTCATCTGGCCATTGGCCATCAGCAGACCCCACCTAATAAAGCTACCAAGAATACTAAAGGACAGTGAATACTAAAGGATGCTGCTATTTCATGACCCCTACAAGAGAGATGGCTACAGAAAGCTGCTTTGGATCATGACAGGAGGTTAAAAGGGGCCAAGGGCTCAGCGGTGGGGGCCAGGCCAAGGAGGGCCAGGGGGAGGAGTCTCTGAGAATAGGCAGGACAACCTCATCACAGGCGGCAGGAATGCTACCCAGAAGACTGGAGATGGGCACCAAGGAATGCATGCCAGGCACCAAGGAGTGCAACCACAGCCTGTCTGGGCAGCAGCACTGCCCTCGCAGTCAGAGTTGCACAAGACAGACCTGCTGGATGATTGCACAGACTTCAACTCAGGCTGAGAACTGACAACTGTCCCGCTCTATTTTCATTCTTGACACTGTCTCTACCATGAAGGCATGCTGGCCTGGTGGGAAAGCAGAGCAACATGTTACTTCGCTGTCCTAGGTAAACAGCAGTGAAGTTACATGGCTTAGACCAGGGGATCTAACTGGGATCCAGGACTCATTTTCAGAGATCCATGATCCTCTGAATTGTATGCCCAACTTTGTACATTGAGCAACTTTTCTCTGGGCTTCTCATTGGCATATTCAAGAGGCTGTGACCCAAGAAGGTAAAATCCACTGCTCTGCACATTAGACCCTCAGCCTTCTTGGCTGCCTTTCATGCAAGAGATCTCACATGAACTAAGAGCATTTTGGGGAGATCTAAAGTCTGCTTAATCCACTATTACTTGGGTTGTGTTCTTTGCAGCCAAAAGCATCCCCACTGATCCAGTACCATAGGGCCCAATGGCATTACTCAAGACTATGAGGGTTGGCAAGACCTCGGAGTCCACCAACAAAATTCCTCGCAAAGCTTGAATTCTCCTCTCAGCCTTTAGAGAATGGGCACCTGCCAGATGCCCCAGAGCACAGGGAGCTCCCGCAGCTCCTTCCTTCTTCTTATCCCCAAAGGTAACTGTACCTTCTTGCCAGTCGGATGCCTGTCCTGGGCCTGGCAGGCACAGAGCTTCTGGAACTCAGTGCACACCCTGGGGACACTTGAGGACATTCCAGCTTTGCACAAGAACATGCTCCGACTTAGTTCACATGGACATGGTTTGTATGAATGACACAGTGCTCGTGAGCAGGTATGTTTTCAATCACTTGCAGGGGGCACACTCCATTTGGGGGCTTCTCATGGGTAGAACAGTGATTATACCAGAGATGAAATATAAAATGGAGGTTACATTTCCCTGAGAACTTTACTCAATCTAGCAGGCTGATCAGCATGAGATTCTGACTGGTGTTAGAGCCAGTCACCTAGAAGCCAGTTCAGTTTATCAGAGTCCAGAGGTTCTCCCTGGTTCCAGGATCACTGGGCTCAGGAACCAAACCCAGGAATAACTAGCTTGTAATTTTATAAGCAGCTCAGATAACTGAAAGCATGAAATATCTGTGGTTAGAGCTAATAAGAAAATAAAAGTTATACCTGTAACAAAAATGTCTTATGTAGATGAAACATGAGTAGTGGAAAAATACAAACTGCCTTATGCAGGAGCAAAGCTGGCAACTCTGGAAGACTGTCTATTGCCTCACCAGGGCTCAGCAGAGGGCCTTGACCCCCCTTCTCCATAAAGAAACATTGAGGCCACTGCAGGGGGGGAGGGGGGCAATTTCCACCAGAGCGCCAGTTTACTCAACACCCCCTCCTCCCCAGAATGAAGCTGGCAGACCCTGCAGCCTTGAAAACCCCAGGGCATCAAAGCTCCATGCCTCCTGCCCTGGCAGAGAAAGGACAAACTACACCATAAACCACAGACAGAGAAGCTAACTGGCCGCTGGGCAGTGAGAACAGACCATGGGTGAAAACCATGGCCTGAAACATTTTCAACTCCCGTCAGCAGGGACATGCGATTTACAGGAAATTAGGAGATTTACAAAACGTTAGCCAGCTCAAGTTTCTTCCCTCAGAAGAGGAGCAGGAGAGACTCGGAGAACCGAAGAACCGTCTCAGTGAAAGTGCTTTGTTCACAGTGAAGCCCCTGACACGTGTCAGTTATTAATACTAACAGCTCACCACTACACACTTCAACCCACCAGAGCATGTAAATAGAGCAAACGCATAACAGGCTGCACCTGGAGCCTTCAAGCCTTCAAGTATGACCCTCACAAGAGGGGCTGAACAGCTGCCTGGTCTGAAGCATGATTTCAGATAGGATCCTGGGCACATTATTGATCCTTTTAGTCCCAGTTCACCACCTGCATATGAGGATAATAATAAAACCTTTCTGAAGGAGTCTTGTCAAATGCTGAGCAAGCACATCCATGTCTGGTATGTGTGAGCTCTGTTGGCTGCTGTTATGTTAGTAGAGTTTCGGGGGTTTTTTGTTTTTTAAAAAAATATGTTTTTATTGATTTTTTTTTTTTTTTTTT